TCATAGACCGAAGGATTTTCTCAACTATAGCAACATCCTCCAGATTTTCACCATGGATCCTCATCTTGTTTGCAATAGCCATCGTCCTTGCAAAATAATCATCTATAGATTCACCAATCTGCATTTGTAGAACTTCGAATTCTGCTCGCAAAGCCTAGCGTTGTTGCTGCTTTGCTCTTTCATTCCCCTGGTACTTCTTCTGCATGGAATCCCAAATATTCTTGGAAGTAGACTTGTTAAGAATTGTTTCCAAGATAGCCCGATCTATGGCTTGGAACAAATAGTTCTTAGCCTTGAGATCCTTCAATTTTTCCTTCTCAATTTCTACCCTCTGTGCATCATTTGCACCTGCCGCTGGTTCTGGAACTCCAGCTTCAACAATGGTCTAATACTCTTTGGACCAGAGAAAATTCTCCATCAACATACTCCAATGGTCATAGTAATGACCATCAAAATGAGGGATTGAGGGCTGGACATAATTTTTGGAAGCCATGGAATTTTTCAGGAATAGGCTCTGATACCAAATGTTAAAAATCAAGGATTCCCGAAAAGAAGAAAATGGAATGAAAAACTGAATCTCTCATTAAACTAAAAATAATCTAGCCTTTAAATAGGCTTTACAAGATAATGTTATCTAAAAAGATAACTAACCAATCTTATCTAATCTAATTTAAATGATAACAACCTAAAACAAATAAATAACTTAAACTTCCTAAATTATAGAGATAATGGCTAAATAATAGGATCTAATTTCCAACATGGAATACCACTTAGGTTGACAAAATCTATGATACAAAGATAAACTAAAAGAAATCCACTCTCAAAACTCACTCAAATGGAGGAGAATTAGAAATATTTCATAACTCAAACTTGATTGAAACTTGATGTATACAATGGAGGGAACATGGTTATTTATAGGTAAAATCTAACTAATAGTAATAAATGAAAAGTAAAATGCAGTTGGGAGTTAGCCATCTTTGTAGACTTGAATGGCCATTTTTGCTAACTTGGGTGGCCATTTTGACAAAATTGCACCAACCTATTTATAGTTTGCAGAGTGTAGTATGAAATTTGTTGACTTTGTTTTGCAACTCTGGTGCATTCTCCCTTGGTTGGAGAAACCTCATCCTCAAGTTTGAGATCAATCTTCTTGATCCTCATAGTAAGGAGATAAGTCAATGACATTGAAAATAGCAGAGACTCCATAATCACCTGGAAGTTTGATCTTGTAGGCATTATCATTGATCTTCTCCATTATCTGAAAAAGACCATCAGCTGTAGGAGACAGTTTGGCATTAGGTTGGTTAGGAAACCTCTTCTTTTAAAGGTGTATCCAAACCCAATCTTCTTCCTTGTACGTAACCTTCTTTCGATGCTCATGATGATGAGCCTTATATCTAATGATTTGATGTTGTAGCTTCTAATGAACTTCTTCATGAAGTTTCTTGATCTCCTTAGCTTGTTGTTTTGCATCTACTATAAATTGTCGAGATGTGGGCAATGGAACAAGATCTAAATGACTAAGAGGACATGTTCCATACACTACGTCTAATGAGCATTTTCTTGTAGCTTGATTTGAAGAGTTGTTATGGGCGAACTCAGCTTGAGCAAGCATAAGATCCCCTTGTCGCAAATTCGTTCCCACAAAACATCATAATAGATTCTCCAAAATCTTGTTTATAGCTTCAGTTTGATTGTCAATTTGGGGATGGTTGGCAGAAACTAAACTATAGTTGAGTGCCCATCTTTCTCCATAATGTCCTCCAAAAATGACTCATGAACTTCACATCTCTTTTTGAAGTGATAGTCTTTGGAACGCCATGTAAACACACAATCTCTCTGAAATACAACTTTACAATGAGAGAAGCATCTTAGGTTTTTTGACAAGCAATCAAGTGAGCCATTTTGGAAAATCTATCAACCACGACCATGATAGAATCCTTGCGTCATTGAGTTCATGGTAAACCAAGGACAAAATCCATGCTAACATCTTCCCAAGGTGATGTTGAAATAGATAATGGCAAATACAACTCTATGTTCTGATTGATTGTCTTGGCTTGGTGACAAATTGTGCACCTTTGAATGTGATGAATGACATTCTACTCCAACTTTGGCTATTATAAATTTTCTTTAATGAGAGCTAAAGTCTTGTCTCTCCTAAAATGACCAGCTAATCCACCATTATGTGCTTCCAAGATAATTGAATCTCCAGAGTAAGTAACGTGGGACGCATAGTCGGTTACCCTTGAATCAGTAATCTTGCTGGCAATGATATTGTAGAAAGGCTTGATTGGAAGGGGCTTTCCAAATGCTGCTAAAATCAAGATCATCCTCATACAACTCCTTGATCACTTCAAATCCAATAACTTTCATCTGTAAAGAAGTAAGCAAGGCATGTCGGTGACTGAGAGCATCAACTACGTGATTTTGGGCTCCAGACTTGTATCTAAAGAGGAAAGGATAACTTGTAGAAATTTACTCTAAGCAGCATGTTGACCACTGATCTTTTAGTAAGAATTCAAATGCTTCAATGCCTCGTGGTCAAAGTGTAGGATGAATTCTTTTGAAAAAAAGATAATGACTCCAATGCTCCAAGGCTTGAAGAACTGCATAGAATTCTTTATCATAGGTGAAATATCTGAGTTTTGTGTCATTCAATTTTTTGCTGAAGAAGGCAATGGGTCATCCTTCTTGACTTAACACCGCATCAATTTTAACATTAGAAGCATCACAATCCACTTCAAACATAAAGTCAAAGTTGGGAAGTGCAAGTACAAAGGCTTCAATGAGCTTCCTCTTTAATTCTTCAAAGCTCTTTTGGACTTTGTCACTCCATGAAAATTTGTCGCCCTTAATGTTGTCAATAATCAAGGCAGCAATAAAATTGAAATTCTTGATGAATCTCTAGTAAAAAGATGCGGACGAAAAGGATATATTAACCTATGTACTTTTTGTTATTGTTGAGATTAACCCTCGAACTTTTTTCTAAAATATTTGAACCCCATCACTTATATATTGAAATAAATTAATTCACACACTTTTCGGTTGAAATACATTAGCCCAAATCTAACTTATGATGTCAAGAAACGTCAATTTACCGTGAAACCTATTTATCTACTGTTAAAACATTGCTAACTTGGTGCATGTGGGACTTGATTTAGTGACATGGTATGAGATGGACTACTTTTTTGCTAACATAACCCTTGATTTGCTGACCTGGACTAATTATTTCCCTAAAAACTCACCCGCTTCAAAGCTTAAAATTGGGGATCTAGGTTTTTGTCCTCTTTGAAATTCATTTTTGTGTTCAAAACGTTAGTATTCAGTTCTTGTTCTAACCTTCATTGAAAACCCAATCTTTTTGTGCCCTTCAAAAAACCAAACAAGCTTACAAAACCAAAAACAAAAACCTTATAAAAATTCCCTGTCCTCTATCAAACAATCCAAAAAATAATAATAATAATAATAATAATCAAACACCATACTCATTGTGTTTTTGGGTTCTTTTTCTATCTAGAGAAAAGAAAAACAAGAAGACCTTTGGAAACCCAAAAAAAGGAAGAGAGAAAGGAAGCTCAGTTTGAAAATTAGGTGAGAAAATGTATTGGAAATTGAAAAAATTTGAGCTTTTGATTTCTTGAATGATACAAAGAGAAAATGAAGTTTTAGGACTCAGATTTATTCTTCGAAATGGCACACTCAAGCTCATGCAAGCCTTGACTTTGTCCACTGGAATAAGCACAAGTACCAACCAATGGTCACGCCCTAGTCATGGCCAACCACAAACACTTTCTCCTGGTCGGCAGCAACTGTATTGAGTAGGCTGATTAGATTGCCAACCAAGTGGAAGCAAGTGTAGTTAGGGACTAATTCTAGTGCATCAGTGTCGCCATAGCCTTTGAGGTTAAGAGCAATAGCACGATAGCCGAGGGAAGTAAGAGCAAGGATCTGGTGGCGCCAAGAGTACTAGAGCTTAGGAAATCCATGGAAGAAGAAGATACTAACATTTTGAAGGCAAAAATGGATTTCACAGAGGACAAAAACCTAGATCCCCAATCTTAAGCTTTGGAGCGACTAAGTTTTTGAGGAAATAATTAGTCTAGGTCGGCAAATTAGGGGGCATGTTAGCAAAAAAGTAGTCCACCTCATACCATGTCACTAAATGAGGTCCCACATGTACCAAGTCAGCAATGTTTTAATGGCAGATAAATGGGTTTCATAGTAAATTGATGTTTCATGACGTCATACATTAGATTTGGGCTAATTTATTTCAATCGAAAAGTATGTAGATTAATTTATTTCAATATATAAGTGATGGGTTCAAATATTTTGAAAAAAAGTTGGAGGGCTAATCTCAACAATATTGAAAAGTACATGGTTAAAACACCCTTTTCGCCGAAAAGATGCTAGGCCATGGAAGCTTCGAATATCATGCAAAGATGTTGGTGTAGGCCAATTGACAATAGCTTCAATCTTACTCGAGTCCATTCTAATGCCTTGGGCAATGATGATGTATCCAAGAAATGTCACACTTGTAGTAAGGAATAAGCATTTGTTGAGATTAGCATAAAGTTTTTGCTTTCTAAGGACTTCAAAAACTTGTTAGCGATGGTCCATGTGCTCTTATTCATTCTTGTTGTATACCAAGATCTCATCAAAAGTAAATCACAACAAATTTTTCAATGAAGAGTTGAAATACTTTGTTACGCCCTAAAACCGGGAGCGAAATAGACGCCGTACACTTGTAAGAGAATCCCACAAATGCACAAGGCTCAAAACTTGCTAAATTCATTACTAACAGTCCACATAAACTTAGATCAATATTTCAAAATAAAATCTAGCTTATAAAGAATAATCTACAACTTAAAATCTACATTCAAAATACAATGGCTAGCCTTCTAGCTCGTCACTCCCCTTGGTTTCCCACATCTCGGGTCACACTACTTGAAATGGTGGACAAGGAAAAACTATGTGAGATAACTCAGTAAGTAAAAATATGGATAGCCCTTAATTAAAATTTATAACATGCCAACAAGTGTAATCAAGTATTAAGAAAAATGGGTACAAGTATGGGAATGAAATAGGCATCTCCTCTATAGGTCATGGCCAGCGTTTATAAACCTCCCATTGGTGGGCATAAGATTTACTAGTGCATAATCCAACTAGCAGGATAACAGGTATAACAAGAATGAACCGGTTCCATAAGTAACATGTCGACATGTGCTAGCATTTATAAACTTCCCACTAGCAGGCACAAGTAATACATAACCATATTGGAGACTAAATCAGGCAGGAGTTACAGGAAAATCCATAGTTTACAAACAAATTTTAGGTTATCAGAACAGTTCAGTAAACTCCAAGTAGGCATGCTTAAATCAATAAAAACAATAACAATTTCATTTCAACCAATCATGTTCATTTTTGTATAAACCGGGTTTAGTCTTGCCACCACTTCAAAAACCATTTAAAATATGCTTTTAAAAGCTTTACCTTAAAAATCCAAGGGCATTACCACAAATTTACTTACCTCGCTTTGTAGGTCGACAACTAGCAAAGATTTCAAGAACTCAAAGCAGTGAAGGAGATTTAAAACCTAAGCCACATCAAAGAATAAACAAGATTACAATATACTTCATTTAACTAAATTAATTTGTAATTCCAATATCAAGTTTATTAACCGAAGAAACAACTTCTCCTTACACATCCCAATCACCTCTACCCTTTTAAAATAGCTCTAAAAAGACTCTACATATGACGGATTTACCAAGTAGATTTGCTGAACAAAACAAACTAGAAAGTGTGAGAAACCAAGCTCAAAACTGTTCTAGACATAGTAGAAACTTTAGGTAGCAAGGTGAGGGTTTCTGCCATTTAAAGCAGTTCCAAA